CGGTCCAATGGTACCGTCAAAAGTTTATACTATCTCTTTACTCAGGAATTTCCAAGTGGGTTTCTGTTACCTCGGTTCCTTAGTCTTCTATGCCCAGTGGACTTATCATGGGTTTGTACCGAAGTCTTATGCAACACCAGTAACATTCCTCTATGTACATATAACATTACACTTCGCATAGATGCCTTGAGCTCCCAAAGCCAGGAGAACCCGGCCTGGTGTATCTGGGTAACAGCCACATGAGGCCAACTGATCGACAGGAGACAGTTACCGTAATACAGATATAATTTCCAAATTTCATCGTAGATGGGATTTGAACCTTAGACCTGCCACTTGGAGGATGACAACCCAACCACTACACTAGGATCGCCATCCTCTGGTTATGAGTTTATTAATATTGTAATATGTCATCTTTATTTTATTTTTTTTTCTTTTTACTTTTCTTTTAATGACTTTTGTTTTGTCTTTGTGTTATCTATTCTTTTATTACTTTTGTTATATTTTTTTTCTTTTTGATAAGAAGTTTCTTATTTTTTTTTTTCTTCAAACACTCCTCTTTTCTTCTATAAGAAGTTTTTAACTTTTCTGTTTATGCTTATTAAAGCAATTGTAATACTATTAAAAGTAGTTGACCAAGTCTTCTTCTGTTTTTTATTTTATTTTGTTTTGTTGTATTTCTAGTTTCTCTAATCTCTCAAGGATTTTTTTCAAAAGGTCTTATTTCATGTCTGTGGATTTTTTTTCTCTATTAAATATATGCAGTACTTCTTCTTATTTTTGTTATACTCTTCTGTGTCTTCTTCTTTTCTCTTCTTTTACTTTTATACTCTTCTGTATTTGAGTTTTTGTTTATATTATATGTAGTTATGCACTTCTTATAGTAAGCTTTCTCTTTATTATACTTCTTTTTGCTTGTTTTCTCTTGCCAAAATAGCAAGTAATTGTTAAATCTTATTACTTTGGTTTGTGCTGCCTTCATCTCTTTTTTTAATGCAAAGATAATTATTGCAAATTTTTTTTAATTACTATTTCTGTTTGTTGGTATTTATATTGACTTTGCATCTCTTTTTCTTAAACATTGCAATAGTAAAACCTTAAATATGTTTCCAAAAAGCTTTAGTAGTTTTGATATAAACTGACTGTGTTAGTCTTGTAAACTATAATCTTTATTGCTTTTGAACACTCTTGCTAGTTTATGTATACTAACTGGCAAGACCCATAGAATGTTTTTTCTTTTAAGCTCATAGTATGTATTATTGCTAAAACTTTGTACTTGGACCTTTTGATTTAGTCTATTTTGTCATCTTTAATATTTTTGTATATGTATTCTACTTCTTTTATATTGATATTTACTGGCAGGTTTCAAATTATTAGATAGTTATTTGTTTTTAAATCTTCTTTTGTCAGAAAGCTTTTTGTACTTTTTTTTTCCTATTATTGCTTAACTTGTGTTCTTGTATTCTTTTTCTTTCTTCTTTTTATTTTTAATATTTGACTTTTCTATTTCATTGTTTTTTTTATTTCCATTTGTCTTGTATTTCTTTCTTTTCTTTTCTTAGTATTATGTTTCTCTTGCTGTTCTATATCTTGAGTTTTGTTTTTATTTTCTTTTAGTATGAGTTTTAGCTATTCCTCTTCTTTTTTTGATTTTGTCTATTGCTGCATCTCTACTATGCTTATAGTCAAATCTATTTTTATTCAATTGTTTCTGTTTTTGAATACTTTTTTAACTGTTTTGATATGATAATTTTTCTTCAGAATCTACTAAATGTACTTTACTCTTTCTTTTTTGGTTTCTTCTAATAAAGCATATGTTGGCATATTGTTTTGAAAAACTTATTTTTATTATATATTTAATTTTCTGAAAACCAATGGCTATACTCAATTGAATCTGAAAAAACATTGTTTTATCCTCTTCACTGTTCATTTCTTCTTCTTGTTCTGTTACTTTTATATTTATAATTTCTAATTTTATCTTTTTGCTTTTTGTTAATATATTTTTTTTTATATTCAAAATTATTAATAGTTTGACTTGTTTAGTGTTGTGGTATAGCGATGCTAAGCCTTTTTATTTGTTCTTTTAGTATTTCTAATTTCTGCTTTAATTCTTCAAAATTGGTTCTTTTTTTTGATTTTATTTTCTATTAATAAAATTTTTTGTCTTATTAGTTTTAACTAAAATTCTTATCTTGTCTTTTCTATTTTCTTTTTGGTATAATTTCTCTTCTTTCATATTTGTATTATATTCAAATGAACTTGGATTGTAGCTTATTGATCTAAGCTTTTCTACTTATTAATCAATTCTTCTTTCTTTAAGCTAACTTATTTCTGCTATTCTCAAGGCTTCTAATTTCTAACTATATACTAGCAAGTTCTGTAGTATAATATATTTTAGATTATAAATTGCTAAGTCTTTTGTAATATGCTCTATATTGCTTGGGCCTTTTGTTGGTATTTTGAGAACTTGGTCTAATATTTTGCAATCTACATATCTGCAATTTCTATCTTCTATTCCTTTAATATGCTTTATAATATCTTTGTAATATGTTTTAGCCATTAGCTTAAATTTTTGCAATTTGAATTAGGTTCTTTTTTTTTTGTATGCTCTGTATTTATTTGGTTGTACTATTTTGGTACATGTGTCTGCTTATGTGCTCTGTTTGTTTTGTTTGTCTTTTGTATAACCTGAAAGATCTGCATGACAAAGTTATAGCTGTTTGCTAAAAATTTTTCAAAATTTAAATTTTTTATTAAAAGTTTTGTTTTTGTTTTTTTATTATACTATTTATAAACTTTTATTTATATTCTTGTTTCTAGCTATGTATAACTTTTGCTACTCTATCTTTTTATTATAGACTAAAGTATGGTTTATTAATGCATTTCTGTATTGTTTTCTGTTTTGCTTCTTAATAATTTTAGTCAAAGGATTTGTAGAAAAAAGTTGTGTTTTTTATTAAGATTATTATTACAATATTATAAAATTATATAATATATATATATAATATAAATTATATATTAAAAATATAAAAACTTAGTGAAGTAAATAAGTTGTCAATCCTTCAAGTAATAGGTTGAATGTTTAAATCTTATCAACAATAAAAATTTAAATAATTACCTATATAATATTAATATTATAGCAATTGTTTCTAATAATTGAATTAAGATATCTGTAATGACAGTTATACTAGTATAACTAGCAGGTTATAGAATATTTGTATAAGTATAACATTAAGATGATATTATTTATCACTTGATTTTTTTTTATCAAAGAGGTACCCTCTCTTCCTCTTTTTTAATATATATCTAATCAGGTTCTTTATATTAAATTTTAATTTTTTTACTCCCCTTCCTCTCTAAAAAATCAGATGATAAATAACACTACCCTTATACAAAAAAATGCAAACTAGCATTAGATAATGCAAATTTTAGATAAGTTTTTATGATTATATAAATTTGTTGAAATTAAAAAGCAAAAAGTTCAATTAAAAGATTCAAGTAAAGAGGTAGTACAGATATTTGACAGTATTATTATAAAGATTAGTCTTATAAAATAGTTACTAATATTAAAGTATCTGAACAGACAAGAACCTCTAGATAAGAAGTATTACTAATCAGATTGCCAAAACAGATTAGAAAAAAAAATATTGAGCTAACTTAATATACTAATAAACTGATAATAATTCTATTGGACTATCTGAATTAGAAGTCTAAAGAACAAACAGAGATATACTAAAGTAATTCAAATATGCTATAAAATAAATACTAAAGTTTAAGTAAACTTTACAAGAGCATAACAGTTTAATAGCTAGTTCTAATTGCAAGTATTAATTTTGCCATAATAGTCAACTATAAAAATATATACAAAAGACTCTAGAAGGTTTATTTCAAAAATAATATAGTTTTAAGATTAAGATAAGAACTTGAATATAACCTAGTAATATTAATACAAATGCAGGTTCAAAGAGTTTAAAATAGAGTATTCAAACAAAAGTATTAGGTATAACAATTAATAAAGAACTTTTAAGCAGACTTTTTAAATAGATAATATAAAAAAGTTACAGATGTAATCAATTATATACTCTTTCTGTAATAGTTCATAGAATTATATTACTAAAAAAAATGTTAATAAAAGTTAAAAAACCAAAAAAGTCATTTTAATACTAAAAAAAAAATTATATTATATATTAAAAAAGTGTAACAACTTAGTAAAATAATAACAGGTCTAAGATTCAAATATTATAAATAATAAATTTTAGAAATTATATCTGTGTTATAGTAATTGTTTTTTGTTAATTAGTTAGATTTAGGCATCTGTAATCTTAGGTATATTAAGTTAGGTTCTATCTGATATTGAAAGCTTAAGACATTTATGCAAAATGTACTATTATATATATATTGAGAATATAAAAAACTAGTATTATATAAGACTTTGGCACAAATCTATAATAAAATTACCAAATATAAAAGACTAAAAAAATAGGGAACTAGTTTTTATACCCCCTGGATTTATTATTTGTACCCCTATACTGTAAATTTCCAAAATTCACATAATCATATAAAATAATGATCGATATCTGAAATATGATTGGGCAGCAGCATTATTACATGTGCCACATATATTACATATACACGTGATCAAACTAGATATTAAATGATCGTATCTAACATCTATCACTATTCCTGTATTCTCTAAATAATTGTTCTACTCTCTAGATCGTCTACTCTTAATTAATGCATACATCTTAATTAATATGTACAGGATATCAGTCTTGCTAGTTATTGTTATTAGCATTATATAGTACTGTATATATGTAATGGTTTATTTTACTTTTTTTTTTTTTTAATATTAATAGTCATAAAAATGTTTTTATTAACTTGCTTTCATAAAAAAATATAGATCAGCAGATTCAAAGTTTAAATCCAAACTAAAGGGCAAGTAAACTTTATTTATACAAAAATTTAAACTAAAAAAAAACCAATTAAACATTTTTTATGTTGACTTATTTTTTATTAATGCAAGTACAAGCATTGTGCCTAGGTTGTTGGCAAATAGCACAATGCCTTGCTTTGGGATCTACTAATTTGAAGCCAGAAGGATCTCTTTTAGTTGAGTTAACTTTTTGGTTATTAGGAGCTCCAGAGGGATGACCTTTGATACGAACTATATCAGGATTTTGTAAGGCCATTGAAGGTTCATCAATAATGCTTTTTAATGTATCTTGTGCAGCTAATTGCTGGAATTCTGACCATTCTTAATATTTTCACTGTAGATCTTGCAAAAGGAGTTGTAGTAGATCTTCACTATTTTCTTCAATTTGTGGTGCTAGTAAGTTTCTCAGAATTCACCAATGCTTATAGATGTCATTAAGTGTTAGACTTTGATTATTTTCTAAACATTGAATAAAATATGCATAGGGCAAACCCATTGTTTTTGAGAAAGACCCTGTGCATAGTGGTAAGGGCTCTTGTGGAGTTGCATTTTTTGTTTTCTGATACTGATTGTTTATCTTTTTGAGTACAAAGGTTGATACTCTATTCTTAATATTTCTATACAAAGAATTGTTAGTAGCAAAGGCCAGAATACAAATACATTCTGATGCAATCATAGTATTGAGTTCTTTTTTTTAGTTGGTTACTGCTAAAGATATTGCTGTATAAACATGATGAAGGTCTCCTGTAGACATTTGCAAGTATGCTTTTAATGTAGCATGTGAACCCTCAATATGAGATGTTATAGTTGTTTCTAAATGAAGTAATTCATTTGTCCAGGCTTTCACAAATTTTTCTTTTCATAATACCCAGGTTTTCTGAGGATGGTGTTATAAATCAAGAGTTAAAAAATCAGATAGTTGATTAGTTGACAACTAATCTATTAAACTTTTTAGATACCAACTAATTGATAAATTGATTAATAGACTAAACAGAAGGAAATGTTGATGTTATGTGACTAATCCCATACCTAGTATGCAGCATATAAAAAAATTAATTTGCAATACCTGTCTATTGTAATAAAACAGGTGAGGAATTATAATCATAACATTACTAGCAGAATTATCTGGTATTGTAAAATAATTTTTTTATGTGCTGCAATCTAAATGTAGGATTAGTTCTGTAATATTAACAGTTATTGATTAATTGATTAGTTAAAACAATTAAAGAATTATTAATAATAACTAATCGATTAATTAGTTAATTGATTAGTTTTAATTTGTCAATTAATTAATCAATTAATTGGCAAATTATATCTGATTGATTGACAAATTAATCGATTAGTTGCAAAAACTCAAATGATTTGTAATACTACCTGAAGATAGGATATTATACTAGGTTTATTACCATAAGTAGAAAAATATTTTTCTACTTCTCATTGAATTTATTTTCTGATTCTGTTTAAACTATATCATTCTACTTTGTAAAAAAACTTTCCCATTCACTGCCTTCTTCTATTTCTTTTAGAAACTGTAGTTTACAATTTTTAGAAACTGTAGTTTACAATTTTTTAAAATATTCTTGCTAATGTGCCATACACAAAGTAAATTTGTTGAATTAGATAAGATCGTTTCAAGAGCATTTATTAGTACTAGTTCTCTGTTAGTCATAATAATGCTCGATTTCTCTTTATCAAATATTCTTATAATATTTGTTAAAGCCTATTTATAATCATCCTCCTCTTCCCCTTTCATAAAAACAAAACAGAAAAAAAAAGTGGTATTGAAACTGGTTATACCTACAATATTTAATAATAGCATTTTAAATTTATTAGTTTTGTAGATACAATCCATGAGAATTACTGTAAAATATTGACGACTAAGAGATATTGAGTCATTGTGCACAAAAAACAAATAAGTAATAGAGCTGGAATTATCATATTTGTATTTGTAAAAAAAGTCTCCTCCTTGAAGTTCATCAACTAATGCTTGAATAGGGGTTTGGCCAGCCAGATTTTGTTGTCTAAGCCATGAATGCACATTATATATATCACTACTGGTGGCTAGTGCTGACATATCACTTTGTCAAAGTGTTGATACAATTTCACAGGGATGTAAACCAGAGATAGTCATTGTTGCAACACTTTCTATTTGTTCTTTTGTTAATCAACAGACAATAGGGTGTCCTGACATATCTTCTGAGGGACTATAATTATGTTCAGCATTATGAACTTCTAAATGCTACTGGTTATTGCATTGAGTTGCATATAATTCAAAGTGGCAATCTATTAACCTAGTGCTTTTTTTTTATTGCTTGTTTCTTGAGTAAAATCTAGGAGTTTATTATAAATACCACCTCGGTCACAATGTATTGTCATATTTTTTAATTCACCATGCTCATCTTTTCAGGTTTTTTTTTAACTAAAGCATAACCCTAAGAATTTGCAAATTTTTATGCATTTTAAAAAAGTTCATCGGCAGTGTTGTATATTCCAGAAGGAGGTGGAAGCATATTTACTTTGACTGATTATTTAACAAGTTTGACTTTAATTTAATTCATGTAGGTTTAATTTAAGAATAATTACGATGATATGGAGAAAGTTCACAAGATTACAAAAAATGAAAGTCACAAAAAATGAAATTGAAAATTTCATGGTTTATTGTAGATTTAGAGAGCTTTTTAAAAACAAGGCAAAATCACTTTATTAAGTACTTTTGCTTCCAAACTCTTTTTATATTTTATAAAAATTTTTTAATGCTTAACAATTTAATCTACACTTTTTTTTAATTTTGGGCTATGTAATAAAGTTTTTTTACTTTACCTTTCTTTTTTTAATTTGATGCATTTTACAATCACATCTTTTTTATAAAAATTTTTACAATCTATTTTAAAACCACATGCTACATCCCTTTAGGATTTATTACATCATTTTTCTTTAAAATTCTTTCTAAAAGAGTATAAGATTTAGCTTTGAATATGTCAGAGTAATATTTGTGAAAGTGGTTGATAAAATTTAATAACTACTTTCATGTGTATTTCCATGATCTATTATATAGCCACATCTTATATCTTTTTAAGATTTATTGCTATTAACTTTTTTTTTTTAATTCTTCACAATTTTATGAACACCATCATAATAGTGCATATTATATCTTTTTAAGATAACTACTAATCAAAACTATTTAATCTATTGTCTAGAGCTATAACCCTTTTTAGAATTATTTCTATACACACTTATAATTTCATTAACTATATTAACTATTTCAAGTATATTGTTATACTCATTTCAAAGCCATGCCCTATACCATATTGGGATTTTATTTCCTTATTTTGATTAGTGACTTTGGATTTGGTAATTATTATTTATACTAAGTTACGATAGATCGTACACAGCAAAATACAACTATTATGACCAAATAATTTCTTGTTATCTGGCATGATTTGACAGATACATTTATGAAAAGAATTTTAAGAATTTGTCACATGATTTTAATAAAAATATGCAGAAATAATGTAGAATTTTTTCTTTTAGTTATTATATAATACTGCCAGATAATACTTGTTACAGATAATCATAAAATCGAATGGTGAAATTTGGATCTATTTTATTGTTAGCTTTTTTTTTAATAGTTAACTTAGGGTTTAAGGTTAGAGTTATTAATATAAATGTATAGGTGGATTTTAGTAAGACTTATATTTCAAATTGAGACCTCAAATTTCATTATCATTTGATTTCATGATCATCTGCGACAATACTTTATTGTATGATTTTCATGGATTACTTCTAATTCATGATATTAAATTTGTTAACCCATCATATGTGAGTGAAACTTGTTATTACATATTAGAAATGACCCAAGATACAAAAAATAATTAGATGCTAGTAAATAATCAGTTGTTACATGGCCAATAACTAGTACATATTATTTTTGATTAGTACTGTATTTTCACATAATAATGCTTACCTGCACATTATTTCAAGTACATGCATATGCGTTATTTTAAGCTAAAAACTTGGTTATTTGATATATAAAAACTTTGATTCAAACATGCATGTTATTTTAAGATATGCATGAATGTTATATACTTCTTATTTTTGGATAATATAATTGAAATAACACAAGTAGTATTATGTGAAAATACGGTATGTGATTTTTATAAATGAAATAGCAAGATTAGTGTTCAAAACTTTCATCATTATATTAAAAAAAAAATGTTCAGCCAAGAAAAAAATAAAAATAAAAAAATAAGTAGATGTTTATATATAGCGTAAATTCTAATTATAAAACATTTAATAAAGAGTATTATTTCTGTTTTGACAAAAAAAATCACATAAAAAACTATTAGTCAAAGCATGATTTTTTAGTTTGAGTATTTTCTTTTTTGTATATTTATCTATATATATAGATGTTCAATAATACGTACAATATTACTGCCCAATCATATTTTAGATATTAATCATCATTTTACGTGATCACGTGGATTTCAGAAATTTACAATATAGGGGTATAAATAATAAATCCAGAGGGTATAAAAACTAGCTTCCAAAAAATAATAAGTCAAAAACTTATTTAAAAATTCTAAATAAAAAAATAGTACAAATTTTTAATAATGCTATTAAATTAATAAAAGTTTATAAAATACTTTTAAAGAGATAAGTAAATAAATTAAATAATAAAATATATAAAAAAGCATATAACTAATCAGATTATCAGAATTGCTAAAGAAAAAAGAATTTATAAGTATATCATATTGTACTATCTAAATTGGTAGTCAGAAGAGCTTGTTGATTCTGTGTAATAATTAGTAGATAATAATAAAGAAAATTTTAAAAAGATAAATACAGAGTTTAGATAAATTTTACAAGTTTGTAGCAATTTAATAGTTAGCTTTAATTGCAAGTGCTTGTTTGAACCAAAGTGATATCAGGTTAGTTGTAAATATAAAATACAGAAAACTTTAATAAGTTTAGTACAAAGTTAAATATAACTTAGTAATTATGATATATCTAAAGTTTTTAGTAAAATAGAGATAGATATGGGATCTAAAGTATTTAAATAGAGAATTTATAAACAGGTTTTAGGTATAACAACTAGTATATAGCCTTTAGACAAATTATTTAAATTAAACAATAACTAAAGTTATATAAATAATTAGTTGTATACTTTTTTTATAATTATCCTTGTAGTTATTATACAAATAACTATTAGCCAAAAATATATTATCAATAAAATCCAAGATTATATATAATTATCTTAATATCAAAAAAAAATTATATATCATATAATATAAAATTATATATAAAAATATTTTTTTTTAATAATTTTTAGTTAACAACAACAAATTAAACTATAAAAAATATTATAACAAAATACAAGAAAACAATACTTTTAGTTTTATATAAAATAAATATTTTTTTTTGTACTTTTGGCAGTCATAATAGTTACTAATCATAAGTTTATTTATAAAAGTTTAGTACAAACAATATACAAATATAACTTTATTCAACTCTTGTACTACTATTATGCAGTTATTCCAATTGGCACCTACAAGCAACCTGCTGTACCAGATTTGCTAAAGTTTGGATTAAGCTTATTTGTCTGCCACTCTACAATTAAACAGTACCAATCTGATACTATTCATTTATAGAATGATAAAAAACTTCTTGTTAAAAGAAGAATATACTAAAAAAATAGATATAGAAAAAAAACATTAAAAAAAAACAAATATTAAGAAATAAAAGAAAAAAGGTTGCTAATAAAGGCTAAACAAATGGTTTCTAATTATAAAAGCTGTATTAGTCTACTAAAAATTATATACATATTACTAAATATAGTAATTTATATATATATATTTTTTTAAATATTAAGGTGAGTACTTGTGACCAAGGATTTTATTAGTAGTATATTTGGCTAATAGATGCTTTACAACCATAGGGGGCAATCATAGAAAAAGTATACAACTAGTCACTCATACAACTTTAGTTATTGTCTAATTTAAGTAGTCTGCCTGAAGGTTCTACACTAGCTGTCATACCTGGAATCTGCTTGTAGGTTTCCTATTTAACCACTCTGTTTCCATATCCATCTACCTACCTCTGCCTACTAATGACCCTAGCTGATGCTGATGAAAATATGCCAGGGCCACTAAGTCTTTAAAGCAGTTCACTCACATAAGGAACCTTTGATCTTGTACTAAACCTTTCTGAATTTCTGTATCTTATTCTTATAGCTGACCTGGTATCACTATGGCCAAAACCAACACTAACGATCAGAATGTATCATTAAACTGCTATGCCCTTGTAGAGTTCACCTCAACTCTAGTATTGACTTTACAATATATCCTTACTACTTTGGTCTTCAATGCAAGTTCCACCAAGCTGCCATTTCAAATAGTCCAGAAAGATAGATCGAAATTATATATCTCTAGTTCACATATTTGTTGACATATGCCCTTTTCCTCCAGAACCCAAAAATTCCAGCAGTCTGGTTGGTTCATCTGGTTCCTCCTCAAAGACCAACATATTTGCCCAGTTTCACAAGTTCTAGCTCTATTTCATAAGTCTAGTCTTTACAGTAGTATTATTGAAAGTTTGGGTTATCTCTCTACTTGGGTCTTCCAAGTAGGCTTTCATCTTTCTACCTAGTTCCTGTAATTTACACAGCCTAAGGACTTATTTTGAGTTTATACTGCCTGGTACTGATTTGTGTTCCCTCATACAATGTTATATAAGTACTTAGATCTTCCAATCATACTAGTATAACACAGATTACAGGTATTCTATCCTAATTAATCATAGAAGACAGTTAGCTGTAATACAAAAAGAATTGCAAATTTTTTACTGTCACTAGGATTTGAACTCTAGACCTGCCACTTGGGGGTTAACAACCTATCCACTTTACTAGGTTGCTACACCTCCTTAGTAATTTATATTTTATCTTTATTTAATTAACATATTTAATACAAAGCTTATATTATAAGAAAAACAACTTAATTAAAATGAACTAGCAGAAAATTTTTTATATGCTAAACACTTTGACTTCTTGTTACTGAATTCATCTTCATATATAACTTATTATACTTTTCAACAGATCTTATATTTTAATATATATCTTATTTCAATCAATTAACTTGTTTTTTGCTAAAATTTTCTAATCATATCTTATTGTATTTTTTTTCAAGACATATGTACTTGTGCTTTATATAGAACTCATAAACAGTCTTGATTTGAAAGAATTAACAATGCCAATTTTGATAAGGTAAGTCAGATTGCCTACTTTTTGATAAAAATTTTTTGAAAAAAATGATAAGATAATTTTTTTAGAATACTAACTATAATAAGTATAAAAGTTTATATTATATAAAATAGCATGTTTA